GCACCCCTTGGTGAGAGTAATCCTATCTCTTAACTGTTAGCAATTTTACATACACGAACACAAAGAAACATGCATTATTTGAATGACAACACTCCCCTTTTGCTTCTTGCCCTGTTACAGTGTGGCCCTGGAAGCTGTTGCATGTCAGCTTTCTGTCCAGGCAAGTGCTTCAGGGGAGACAAAAGGAGTTAGTCTCAAGCAAAGGGTATGACAAAATTCTACTCTCCATCCAGAATTCACCTGCCCTCCACATGGGCTGCTCCCCACAAGAGCATAACCCTGGTTTAGGAAACCTTCTAACACATGAGAAAAGTACCTGTGCACCACCTACAACATCATTCCCTGCATCTCCATCAGAGATCCGGTTTGCCCTCAGCCTGTGCAAACAAACATCTCCGTGTTTTTAGAGAGCACTTAAGACTAATTCATCTTGACTCTGGCATGGGTGCAGCTGATTGAAAGCACCCTGTGGACAAGGACACAGCCGCAGGGGTGACGAGGCTTCACACCTCTTGCCAAAATCAAAGCTGTCACAGGGAGAATTGCACTGCCGGCCCCCGTGACAAAATGGCACCTTCCTCCTCCCCACCAGCCCTCACCTCTTTAAGCCAAGAACTATGTTCAGTTACCAATTTACATGCAGTGAAGTATTAAATAAAAGCTTCACAGTAATCCACAGAGTTTCCTTAGACATGTAAACTCTAAGAACAGAACGTCACGGGAGCACAACCTCCCACATCAAACCAATGCCCTAGACACATAAATGAATGAACAGACCCCAGACAAGCTTCTCGGTCTCAAGAAACAGCTTTTAAACTTGACCAAATGGGCAACCAGCAAAGTAACATCGTCAGGTTAAAACTAATTTCCAAGAAATTTCTCAGCCATAGTCTTGCGATTCCTCTCCCCGCCCCAGACTGAGTAATGTTAACTGTATTCTTCTCCTTTTATGCTGCTACTTTTTCCATTCTACAACCGGCAGCAGAGCTAATCAATCTAGCTTCATTTTTCATTTCTAGTTAGTTTCACAGTTTCAGAGCCAATAGTATTAGGTCTGACTGCAAAGATAAGAGGAGTTTTTAAATAAATAAGCTTCACTACAACATAAAAATAATGAAGACGACCATAGATCTGAGGGGGAGAGGGGGTTAAGTACATTGACAAAAACTAAGTAAAGCTGGAGGCTTAAAATAGCTGACAGTCTGCAAAAAACGAATGCACTGTTTTTTTTTAAGTACTGCCTTAGATAACTGCAGTAAAATAATAAACTGGAATATGTCAGATTAAATAAGGAACTTACACAGCAGTATTTAAGAGATACCTGAATATGTTTCAAAAGCTTAACTGATATGAACTAGGAAGCCCATTAAAGCTGCCCATTTTTACATGATAATACTAAAACAAAGTAACAAAAAGAAATACAGCTTGGTGTAGTCTAATGGAAACAGGAACCTGGAGGCTGCACTCACTCCTGGGGAGCAGCTGGATTTCTCCATAGACTGTGGCACACAGGATGCTATTTCATGGATTAAACATTGATAAATGAAAAAAACCCAAAAGTAACTGGAAATGCACTGGTAGGATAACACTCTCTATCCCTTGTTATGTATTATGCAGTGTAGCAGGAGGTGGAGCAATATTTTATACACCAGAGGAGTAACAGAAAAGTCCAAAATAAGGGAGGGTGGGAGGCCTTGTTCCAACACTGTTTGGCTATACTCATGGTGAAAAAATGTCTTAGAATTGCTAACCTGAATCCCCCTTGTATAAATTTCTGCCTACTGCTGCCCCTTCTTCTACCACGTGCCTTTGAGGAGAGTTTGGCTCCATCTTCTCTGCACCCTCCTCGTGGCTGCTGAGTTTAAATAGAAGAAATTATGTAGGTAAAGGAGATGATAGCACTGAAACAAAAGCAAATTTCAGTCTTTGACAGCTTAAACACAGGCTAGAAAACCTAACATTCAGAAAATGGCACTTTGAAATCTGTCTGGTACTACCCATTTCCAGTCCTCACTTGCCACCCCTGAGTTCATTCCAATGGAGTTTCTGAAATCTGCACAGTAAATTTGCCTCCACAAGGGACTGACTCATTTTCCTTCGTTACCATTCACAGTTCCAGCATGGAAAACACTGGTGCTACTCAGCTTTATGATTTCAGGACAGTGTATGCGTCTTTGCATGTTTGTCTCTCAAGGCAGAAGGGTTTCCTGCATGCTCCTGAACATACGCAGGTTCTAAAACCAGCATTTCCCTGCCCACAGCATCTACAACATGCTAGACACACCTGCATGCTTCTTCCCAATAACGCTTTGATGCTGTTTCACCTATTCTGCCCACGCCTCCTGTTGGTTTCCAGTGCCAATAGCCCCAGCCACTGCTGGAGACAGACAAGTCCTCTTCCTATTTCTGGTGTCTCCCCACTCCTTGCTAAGCCAACCTCCTTTTCTCACTATTTCTGTTTGCACTTTGCAGATTTCTTCCCTCCTACAATAAATGCTTCAGGCTAGAAAGAACCAGATGGTGTGTCCCTGGCTATCTAAAGAAAGTCTGGCTAACCTGTGTGGTTGAAGTGCTGCTGTTTTCCATTCTTTTGAAGACTGAATCCTTTACAGGGCTCAGCAGTATAGAGGAAAAGGGCCTCTCTCCATGTACAGACTTCAATGAGTCTGTGGCTGTAGTGAGATTTGCCACCACTTCTAAGGTGGGGAAATAAAACCAGCTGTGTAAGAGGTGTGATGTGAATCACACACTACATTATGTAAGCAGGTCACCATCACCAGATTAGAAGTAACAGCTTTTTTTTTTTTTTTTTTAGCAAAATCAAGTATTTTGTTAGTTATTCTGCTGCTGCAATAGAACCAGTAATATAACTGGCTTCCTAGCCAGAATTACCCCAGACCACACATGCAGCTTTTTTCCAGCAGACATGGTAACTTCCCTCTAGCTAACAAGAAAACCTGAGCCCCTTCCCTCAGTGACAGGTCTCCAGCTGTCTGCCCCCAGGGCTAAAAGGTCTTGGCTCTAGTTGGGGCACAATTCCCACACTGCTCTGCTTCCCTGCCTGTGCCATGTTTTGCAGGTATACACCCTCTTATTGCCAGGGAGAGAGTTTCAGCTTGGCAAGCTCCACTGATGCTGTGTGCAGCAATAGGGGATAAGCAAGGGGAGCTTGTGCAGGGCTGTGCTGGTACAACACAGCCCCATGGCTCAGCAGAAATACCGTGCAAGTAGCTTACAGTGAAATGTGTCCTATTGCCCTCCCAACACTTATCACCAGCTCATTAGAAAGCTAATACCCTACAAGCTTGACCAGCGCAGCTCAGACCAATTTTGGGGAACACTTCACCATCCTACTCATCTCCACAGTTGCCAGGTTTTACCTGGAGCAGCTTTGGCATGGGGCACTTAGCAGCCCCTGATGTAACACATACAACTCCCAGCCTCGCTGCATCATCTGCGCAACTCCCCCTCCACCCCATCGATGGTATCCACATACCTGGTGTGGTTCTCGATGCAAAGCTGGAATGAGAACACAGGGTTCAAATGCTACCACTTTTCCTTGCCCAGATTTCTGAAATGGCCCATCTCACCCTGCAAAAACAAGGATCTGAATACATGTTAACAGCCAAAACCCCCAGGCCTGCTCCACCACCCTGCCAAAAGCAGGCTTAACTCCTCGTTCACAAAAGCCTTTGAAAAGTTCAACTTTCTGGTTCTGAAGGTGCACAATTCCCCTCCTAAGATTCCCGCACAGGGTCCTGACATAGCCTCGATGCTGACTGTGTTCCTGATGCTGAAGGCAGCAGTCTGTTGTCCGCTCCTGAAGCACTCATGCAGTGGGAAGCCACAAAGAAAATCTCTGAGGAAAATTCCAGCTGTACCTTTAACCTCGAAGCCCCTTGCAAGCAGGCACCTGTGCTCAGTGACTCCATCCACAGTGCGACAGAGACCGGACCTCTGCAAAGACCCTATCTCATTCCTCCCAACGTCTATGACAGCATGAAAACCATGTTACAAACATCACCTCCTACAGCCACAGGTTTTAAACCTTCTGTGATCTGCAGAGTCCTATAATGTGCTACTTGTGGGTGTAAGAGAAATAGTTCTTAGATAACATGCTGATGCCGGATGAGAATTTAACTAAACAGAACAAAAGTAGCTCACTCTCCAGTTAAGATTTTCTTCAACATTTCCATGAAAAGGATTAAAGCTTTAAAACAAAAAGCATTTTTGGTCTGTATCATAAAGCCATCAGAACGATTATATGGAAAGACAGCCAGCAGCCTGCATTCATAACTCACTCACCCAAAGCCTCCAGCTAAAGTATCACCAACCCACTAAACACTCAGGAGTCACTGGATGCACCATACTGACACTGATGGTACTACATAATCAACTTGGGAAATTTTTGGTGGGGAAAAAAAAAAGTTATGGAAAGTTATTTGAATAAAAAAATGACAGAAATTCCACATAAAGACCACTGCCTCAACCAAATAACCCTTTTCTGCTCAATCAGCAGCCAGCACTTGGTCTAAGGTACCTCTCTTCTCCTTATCCTGCTTTCCCTTTTTCTTTTACTCAGTTTATCAGAGCAACTGCTATTTGACACAGCAGCTGGATGGGATCTGCTGCTGGAATCAGACCAACTTCTTCTGATAGCTGCCCTGAGAAGCACCTTTGCACTGAGGTTGCTTACAGGATGCCTCAATCAAAAGGAATTTGATGTGACAGATGATGTTTTTATGCACTGGCACAGCACATGGCACAGAAGGGGTCTTGTACTCAACCTACAGTACCTGGTGACTACAATTACAAATATATTAGCTTACAGTCTTTTTACATTTGCTAGATTTAGTAGCTAAAATTTGTACTGGGAGTGGGTCGCAGTGATATACCATGAGCTGCAAGTATACACTAATCCTACTGGGGAGTATTAAATGAACGTATTTGATCAATAAAAGTAGGTGGATCATCACTCTGCTCATTATGAGGGACTTGCAGGAGACTTAAGAGGTGAATTTGTTCTTAGTGTTTGTTAATTCCTTGGAAAGGCACTTACGCCCTGGCACAGAAGAATCAGCAAGATTTTATATTGAACCCATTTTTTCATCCCATTGGTGACAGCAGAACGTGCACCTCCACAGAAGTCACTAAAAAAAAACCCCAACCACTTCTAGATATCAGTAAATAGCAGTGTCTGGTTTTCTAGAACTATAAATTAGACACTAAATACATCAGTGGCTGTTTGTGTGGCTTCCTCTCTCTAGCTTCAGTTTGCCAGAGTACAGTCTGATTTGCTTTCTTCTCCCTTTTTATTTCTAGGCTTGCCAGAACATAATTATTTTCCTACAAAACCATTCAGTACTTTGGAAAACTCTGCAATCTCCCAAGTCTTAAGAAGGCCCTGAACCCTGCCTCATGGGTTCAGAGCTTTAGTTGCTCTGACAGCACAGATGAGCCAAGGCCCAGGAGCACCTGGTCTGGTGCCCACTATACTCCATCTTAACAAACACCTCTCAGCTCCAACCCTTATCAGATACTACAGCAAGAAACAGTGAGCTAAAGGGGACACAGGCAGAAGCAGTGGTAGCACTGAAACAGCCTGTCCCATCTTTTCTATGCATGTTTACAAAAATCCATCCAAAGCCTGCATTTACAAGGAAGGGTCAGGCAGAAGACCACAGAAAATCACTTTAGATCCATGTTAGAGCACATACAGCAAACCCACACCTAAATTCCTGCCATACTTTCCCTTACAGGGTATTTCCTTGAGGCATTCTAGCAGGCAAGTCCCTGTGCTTCCTTAAAGGATCCCAGTTCAAGAGGCAGGGCAGAAACCCCAGGTTTTGTGACCAGGCACAGGAGGATGGCAGAGACTCCAGAGTGATTCTGATGAAAAGCCCAGCAGTAGAAACACCACCGAGTTGTGCTTTTAATGCACTCACTCAAACTACCACCTGAGCAGCTCCCTACAGGGATGTTCGAGAAGGGAGCATGGAGATGCCCGAAGCTGAACATGGCACAACCCCATCCAGATCTGTGATCGAAAGACACAAGAAGCAAATGAGACTACACGGCATCGCTTTCTTAGCTTTAACCATGCTTTAACCACTCGCCTCATTTCAATCAGATGCCCCGCCATACTGCTCTTGTAGCAATTCCTCAAATACCAAGTAATACTGGATGACAAAAAAAGCCCCAAAACATTGTTTTAAAATGGTAACCCACACTGCCTTCCCACCATCAAACTTAACCTAGTAGGTCTGAAATCCTTCCAAGGATGCAAATCTCTAGGATTCAGCAGCACGAGTTCTTAAGTCTTATTCGTATCTGCGCTTTTGTCAGCAAAGTTCTTTCAGAGCTCCTGTCTAAAAAGTCTCCTCCTATTTCTGAGACACATCACTTCACAAGCTGTAATACTTTGGTTTACAATTGGATTAAAATATAAATTAAATAAGAATAATGCTAAATGAGTTTATATTGAAATACTTTATATATGTATACATATATATGTATATACAGATATGTGTGTGTGCACTCCCTAATGACAGCTAGAGGAAGCAGAAGTCGTTTTCCAAAGGCTTCTACTCTTCCAACTAGCATGGTCAACCTAAGCATTGCAACAATTCCCTGTGCATAAAAGCTCATGAAGCATTGGAAGGTGGTGCTGGTGAACAGCTCAATCACACAGACGTTCAGGAACAGAAAGACAATAAATTATAAGAAGCAGTAGTAACTTGTTCACAGTTGGGATAAGGATAATGTTACAGGAAACCTGAATTTTCTACAGTACCAGGAATAGAAAGTCAAAGGGCACTGAAGATTACAGCTGGATATATTGTAGTTAATCCTAAAAGCAAAGATTGGATCTGACACAAAGAAATGGTCGAAACCACATGAAATTTCTCCCAGCAGACTAAACTCTGGTACCATCAGATTCAGTGGGAAGATTTCTGGTACCTCCACCGGGACCAGAATTCAACCCAGAGATGCTTCAATCACTGCCTCTATCTCAGTGACATTTTCACACAGAGGAAGATTCCTTGAAGCCAATGCAATCCTACATCCAAAAGAAAACGTTCCCAGTCTCTTCTTGATTCTACTTCTCTTCTAGTTATCTCCCAAACATCACATTCAGTCTCTCCTAGTCTCAGCCTCTGTGTTTACCTATGTTTCACAAAAGAAAGTCTTTCAGCAATAATATCAAGGCAGAGAGAAATTATTTAGAGATGGTAGGACTCTTCAGATAATTTTATAACCCATTCGAGTGGGCTCCAGATTAAGAACAACCTAAATTTCTAGTAAGACTAACTGCAGCAAAACTTTGGTCTGCTGCATTTTATTGAAAAACAAAACGAACAACAGAACCACCAACAAAACCCAACAAATCTACTCCAAATCTATTCCAAAATGTTCTGGTAGACATTAGTTTCAAGCAGCAGCTAGTAGCATTTGCATAGGTCTAGCTTTTATTTGGTTACAAATATATATATTTATATATAAATGCATATACATACATATGTATGTATTATATTAAAATATGCTTTGAATGATAACAATTGACATAAAGATAACTGGCTCCTCTTTAGGACCTTTCACTGAAGACGTCAAAGCTCTGTGCATGGATCTCACCCTGTGATACACATAATGCTCATCTCTGAGATGAGGCTATGCTGGCAGTCAGTGGCAGCTCCATTGGAAGACTCCAAACTTTCTGACTGTAGTCCTGGCTATGGGCTCAGCTCCCAGGGGAAACTCAGAGCCCACACCTTGACAAAAATTAGAAGTCTCCTGAATTACAGCTCCTTGAATTCTCCCATCCCAAAATATTTCCGGTAGAGCAAGAACAGCATTTGGTGTTACTCATCTGCAGAAACACCTGGATGCTGGTAAGGCAAGCATGTTATGCATCAAAGAGTAGAATTTTTATAAAGTTGAAATAACAAGTTTAAGGGGTGCCAATTTTTGTTGGTTTTAAAGACGCATGACTGTCTACCTCACATGCTACCTTCCACCCAAATAAACTGCACCTTTTCAGGTGTCTTTTTATTTATGCATTTGGCTCTGAAGGAGAGATGAAGTCAACAACAAATAAAAGCTACAACTCTGCTCTTGGAAATGCATTATTAGGGTTGCATCACCTGAAGACAGCAAAAGGATTCTGCTGGAAGACCAGACTGCTTAGAATCATCTACTGAAATGGGCATCAAACTTTTAAGTGACAGTACTATTGCATAAAGGTGTGGGAAGTGTGTTTCCCTGAAACAGTCACCTAGCTGTCACAGAACAAGAGCAGGACAGGCAGGGAGATCTGCTCTTGATCTCAGAGGGCTCTGTACCCTCCCCACCAAGCCTGCTCCGCTATGCTTCACAGCAAGATCACAGCTTGTTCCAAATGCAATTTCAGCTCTGAAGAGCTGTCAGATAGGAACAGAGGCAGCTGCTACTGACCTCAGCTGGAATTAAAACAGCAGCAGAGATACAAAACACTTTCTATTCTTCCTGCCCTTCAGCCACCCAAACTTCTGGAAGTTAAATCACAGCTTGAAAATATTGTAGGAAAGATGTGGGTAAGTCAAAGGACTGAACCTGATGGCCAGACAATGCTGGGAGGACAAGTGACGGCCTGCCCTTCTACATTGGCTGCTCTGACCAGGCTGATATCCTGGGATCTTATTAAGCGGCTTTAAGTGTGTTCTCAGCCTCCTGTTATAAATTCACATTTCATAAAGCCTCCTCGCTCATCCCTCTCTAACTAGCTGCTGGAAATAAGAAGCATAGTTTGCTTTCACACACTCCCACTGTAAGACAGCAAAAAGACCTTCTGCTTTTTCCCTTTCCCAGCTTCACATCAGTCATCCTCCTGAGAGGATGAGATTTAGCTTTTCCCCAAAGCAGCAGCACAGTATTAACACAATTCTTGCTATTTTCACAGCTATTCACAGGGAGCCTGGCAGCAGCAGGGAATGGCCACGGCAACCGTCACATCACTATGCTGTGACTTGGCACCAGGGCTTTCTGCAGGCTTAAGGAGATAACCACAATGATTCACATTTGAAAGGTTTCTCTGACACAGCAAAGAACTAAGAAATGTGTTCTCCTCCAAGAAACAAAACTGCAGAAATAGAGTGTGTTCCCCCTGTTGCCTGAGGCAAGCAAACAAATGGGTTAGTAAGCCCTAACTCTGAAGCGGACAGAAATGTTACACACAGAGGTATTAAAATATGACAGAGTTCTCTTCACATCCTCCTTAAATCACAGTTGAAATCACAGTTTTAGCAGAGGGGAAAAAGCTGCAGCTAGACGTGGAAATGCAAAGCTGTGCCTCAACCCATCACAGAAGCATTTACACTTGGAAAGTTGGCATGTGATTCTCTACAGCTTTGATGCAACTGTAAAGAGCTACAAAAGTGTGCCAGTGGAGAGGCAACAGAAGACGGTTATCATTTTGTTATGGAAAGCAGCTCCACTGCCAGAAATTTCACATGAGGTTTTCTCATACCGTATACAACCTCCACCCCCTTTTTTTCTTGAACCTTGGCCTTATCTGCACTGAGGAAGTCAGCCACTGAAAGAAAAGTTTAATAAACAATTCCTTCTGAACTGGTTCCATCTCCTAGCACGGATGGGCCTAAACTGCTTTCAGCACTGTTCAAGAAAACACTAGAAACACCATGATTCCCACACATACATACACATACACATCCATTAAAGGTACAGAAATAATATTAAAATGATTCCCACTACCATACCTTATACTGACTCTAGCTACAAGCTATAAACTTCACCTCAGTGAGGCCCAGGCAAGAATATTGGCTCTTTTGCATGCAATCAGAAATGATCATTTATACAGTGGCAACCTTTGCACCAAAAAAACCCCAAACGAAAAATCCCACCCAACCCATAAAAGAAAAAGAAATAAAAACCTTTCACAAGCTTTGTTTTCAGACTAGCCTAGTGTAATATGAAGGACCGATTCCATGGTTTTCACCAGGCCAATTGAAAGTAGTGAATCAGCAAAACAGAATGCACCACTGGCATCCTGGACTCTTGGGATGCTCTTCCGTTCACAGTATCGATACAGTAAAACAAAAACCTGCTAAAGAAACTCAAAGCTGTGCCAAATAAATAAAGGCATTCACCATTTTATGTCAGCCCTTCAGCATTATGCTTTGATGGATTGGTTGCCATCTGTTTCAGAAAAATGTTGCTTGTGTAGCAATTACTGCACCTTCACCCTTCTCTTCACAGCAAGCTTAGCAGGGAAACTTTTCCATTATATTTATATATAATATATGTATATAAATAATTTTATGTTTTTATAGTTTGGTAGTATTCTTTTAAAACTTCTATTTTAAAACACTTAAATCTTTTAAGCAACTAAAAGTAACTTTTGATGCTTTCTAGTGTGAACAGGATAGGATTTCAAAGTTTTTAACTTTTTTCTTTTTGATTTTTGGTAATTTCAAAAGCTATGACTAAAGCAGCATACTCGGCACGTCTCCGCTCCTCCCCACACCTCGATTGCAATGAAACCTACCTTAGCCACCCTCTTATCTCCTCTTCTGTGACTGCTCTCTGGCAACCTTACTGTTTCGGTACAATCCTGTTTGACCTTCGACAGGAAACCCAGTGGGGCTGGTCCCTCAGGTGGCCGCTTAGAAAACCATTCACTGTGTGACGATGCACATGACAAGAGAGGAGGAAGAAGGGACAGAAGAAAAATGGAGATGAAATACAATTTTTCCTCTTTGAAATGGGCAAGGAAATTGTACTTTCCAGATGCTCAGCTAAGAACACCTGCAAAGGTTCCTCTCTTAGCAGCACATCCCTGTTACACATGATCCTGGCACTAAGCCTTTCTCTTCCCCCCACACAAGTCCATTACAACCACATCTGATTTTGGAGAGACATGGGAGGAACAGTAAGAGCCGTCACTTATAAAAGAGAAAAATATATGAAGTGAGGCAAGAATACATTACCCTTCTCCAAATTCATCCCTCTAAAGGGGCAGGAAAATGATCCTGTGTTCCAATTTTCAGATGGGGAAAGCAAGGGCTGGAGATGTTTCCATGTGCCCAAAGTTGTGCAGTCAGCCTGCAGGCAAGCTTTATTTTCACTTGGTAAGTCTCCTCCTGCCTGCCAAGCCCATGCTCTAACTGCTTGCCAGGCTTGCTTTGCCCAAGCAAGATGAAGTGTATTTCTTTTTCAATGTCTCTGTTCCTCCCATCAACTTAAGGATCAGAACTTCATCCTTCCTTATTGTACACATTATACACCCTCAAAAGAGCTCCTTAAACCAAACATCCTCTCCCAAACCCCATCTGCGCAACTTGTTGCTCATTTCCCCCCTGCATCATGAACAACTCAGCATCAGAACCAGAGAAAACTCTTAGAGTATTGCATATTTTTTAAAAGACTTCTTCAAAAGATGTCAAGATATTTGCACTTATTTACCTGTCCCATGCTTTTCCATTTATGAAACACGTAAGCACGTGCAAACACCTACAATACACAACGCAGGCATGTCTCTCCGGCCTAAACTTGCTCTAAACATCAGAACTGCTTAGAATACAAAAGTTTAAGTCCATGCAAGAGGACAGAGTTGTGATTGCTCTAGGAACCATTCACTTTAAAGTTTCCTGAACTGTTACAAGGAAATAGTTTTTTTTTTTTCTTTTTGCACTTCATTGATAAAAAAGTTATCAAACTGGTTTGTAGAAACACATTTAAAAGCAACCACCCAGGATTGCTTGGCTGGGACAATAGTATTTCAGTATACCATATTGCTGTTATAAAAGATCAAGTGCGTATTGAGGGAGGAGTAGGGGTGAAGGACGACTTTGGTAGCCAGCCTCTAACTCCGCAATTCAGCCAGTCCTGAAAAACTCTTCCTAACGCTCGGCAACACCTGAAGCAGGCACCAGTCAGGACGTCAGAGTGCTCTGAACTCTCCAGATCAGCAACAGCAAAGGACAACCTCCTCAGAAAGACCCCTCCAACCCTTCTCCCAATGCATCAGAGTCTAATGCAAACCTCAGAGCTGCTAAATTTCACTTTCAGTAGCCGAAGCGCTTAAAATTTTGCTGACCTCTAGAATACTGCTTTATAGTCATGCCCACTTTTAACAAGGGGCTTTGAGGCCACACGCCTGGAAGGGGCAAGCCAAGAGCCCTAAAATAATAGTTTAAGTAAAAATGTAAAGAGACACACCAAAAATAAGACAGGGAAAATGCACTCGGGCAAGGCAGGTTCCACCAGGACAGTCTTTTTGTTTTCTTTAACATGGCAGCTACCTGGGGAAGGGAGAAAGGCAATGGCATCTTACCCCTGATCCCCCCTTGAGCTGGACCAGCAGATATGGCAAAGAACAGCCCTGCACACTAGGCCCACTGGGTCTGCATGGCTGATGCCAGCATTGCCAGCGGGCCCCAGCTGCTAGGCCAAAATGCTGTTGAGAAATACAAATGACTGCTCGTCTCAGATCACTATGGAACATTAAAAAAATGTAAAATCCTGTCGATCCCTGAATAAGAAGTTGATTGACACAGTTGTTCTGTTTTTCTCCAAGAGGAGGAGGAATAAGGGAGAAAAACTTTCAACACTCTACGTGTGTGTGTGGGGGTGTGTGAGAGAAAGAGAAAGAGAGAGAGAGAGAGAGAGAAAGATTTTTCTATTTTGGCAACATCTTGGGAGCTTCCTTCTGTCCAGTGGTGGCATTGCACTAATTACAGTACCAGCCTGCCGGGTACTTTAGAGCCAGAAATGGGAAGACAGTCCTTTCTCCCCAGACTCTGCAGCTGTGTTTCAATCTGGCCCAGTGGTGGACACAGATCCCTGTGCCGTCTCCACAACAGCGACAGCCTCCTCCTGTGGAGGAGATTCTTCTTCCGCCTGCCCCCGAGACGTGACCGTGGTCTCAGGGGAGATGCTGTGAGGCCCCTCCAGAGGCATACAGCCAGGGTGGTTCTTGCGAAAGTGCTGGTTGAGGATGGCCTGGAAAGGGAAGCTTTTGCCACAGACATGGCAATGAAAGGGCTTGTTGCCTGTGTGCTTGCGGATGTGATACTCCAGCTGATCCTTGCGGGTGTACTTCTTCCCACACATGCGGCAGACAAAAGGTGTGATGCCCATGTGGAGACGCATGTGCCGATCCAGGCTGCCTTTCTGGTTGAAGGATTTGGCGCAGTAAATACAAGTGAGCCGTGGGTTGTACCGGAACCAGCGCTCTGAAACCTCCTGCTCTCGGAGATATTCCACATAACCGCTCACTCCCAGCATGGCTGATTCCTCCCCCTGTGAAGGAAACAACGGAGATTTAAATAACAAGCAGCATAAAACAGACTGCAGAAAAGAAGATCAGGCCCCAGTCCAGCCAATAAGGCATTGAAGCATGTGCCAAACCTCGAAGTCAGCACCACTAATGTCTTCAACCTCAAGCACATATTTAAGTGCTTAACTGGAGCCTTGGGGCTGAAGACAAATGAGCAATCAATTAGAAACCTCTGCTATGGCGGCCCCTTCTGCCAAGTCATTCTCTAGATCCAGGGAAGAACAGCCCCTGCCAGGAGGGCGCGCAGCCACCAATAGAATTGTGGATCCAGTGTGTCAATACATGTTACATTTTTTGAACATGGGCCAGTTTGTTTAGAATACTGTATACCACATTCTGGTTTATTTACTAAGGTTAAAAAAAGAAGCTAATTGATGAGCTTGCAGTAAAACAAAGGTGGAATAAATTACAAATCATATCTTATACTCTTCAGGTGTCATTTTACACAGGTATTTATTCAGGATTCATTTTATAATGAATCACGCTTGCCTCAATGGCTGTGTAACCCATCCCAGCCCCACGGCATTACAGGGGAGGATCTGCAGCACAGACAGCTAGCACGCCTGGCCCAAGTCCCTCAGCAAGCTGGCTCCTTGTTATTTTCTGAAGCCAGAAAGACAAACAGCCAAGGGTAACCCTGAACCATGAGCTCAGGCGCTAGGGCAGCCACTTCTGGCTATCGTATTCAGAACGAGCACGAACAGTCTCCTGAATGCCTCTGTGCTGGAGAATGCACTATTTGCTCTCTCAAGTCTTATGCTGATTCCCAACAATGCCAAACACAGACAAGCAACCAGTGTACCAGCAGGAGGACCTCTCCTCCGGCAACCAGGGCTGTGCACATGTGAGCAGCAGTGTAACTGTGCCAGGCACTGTTGAATCTGGCTGTACAAACACTGCTAAACCGTTCAGGACTAAAGGATATGCCAAGGCTATGGTACTTTCTTTCCACTCTACCACTGCCACTGGGCAGGGATCATGGACAGACTATTTTTAGCATTGATAATGCAATACCAGAAGAGTATAAGATGGTGATAACTTCCCTGTGTGCACGGCAGCCTATCATTTTACATTTGAGGCCATCTCACAATGGATAACTAATAGCAACTTTTCTGCACATACAGCTAAAATTGCTTTGTATGTCACATTTGCCTTGGAGGGTTACTTTGACCTGAAATTTTCTAGACGTGTTCTGAGGACGCAAAACAAGCTTAGGCAAAATAGGAACAAAATGGTATTTTTTGTTTTATGGAAGTGTATTACAAAGTTAGCAGACATGAATCATGATTTCTTTCCCCTTGCTTCACTTGGTCTTACTCAAGGGCAAAGCAGCCTGGTAACTCCTCACCTGCCTCTAGCAAAATCATTTGATTACAAACTGACACATTACTTATCTGCCAGGCATACAAAAGTCATTCTACATGGTGCTGGGTGACACACTTGCACTACAGTGGCACTGTGATACTGACTGCATGCAACAAAACATTAGACAAAATTATTAGGAATAGATTAGGAATTACCACTGTGTGCCGCTTCGCTGTACCCTGTAGCCCACTGCTCTCCTGTGTTTCTGCATATCTCTCCCTCAAAACTGTGCCTATACCTCAAGAAAGCAGAGAATTCAGAGCTACTTTATGTTGCAAATCCTGCTATGCAACATAGTCCCTTGGGGATGAGACAAAGACATCTGTACAAATCCACAGTCTTTCGACACTGCACTCTAAAGGCTTATTCGTGTAGTGCCTGGAGGACTTTATGGAATGGGTTTGGTACTAGCATGGAAAGGTTCAGCTTGCCACCCTTCAGTCTTCCACACAGACCAACTAACACCTCCTCCCTCAGCTCAGGCATTTGCTGCCAGTGTTTTAGAGCAGATCCAACTTTGCAGGAGATCAGGGTTTCTCCTCAGGATTTGGTGGCCTGCCCAGAAGGGGGGTTGATATTTATGCTCTCAGACAACAAGATAAATTCCTTGTGTTTTCCAGGTATCTGGCCAAAATCCCAAATGACAGCCAAAATCAGCTTTAAATCACATACGGACGGCATACGTTCTCAGTGCGAGCAACTAAACCCTTTGCAACAGTAAAAGGTCCTTGTTTCACACACAGTATTACTTGCAAATACAAAATATTAAGCACTTCATCACAAAACAGTCCCCTTCACCTTCAATGCCAACACTTACTTGCAGACTTCTTGATCTGCCTACCTGGGAACTGGGCTGCTTAGGCTCATCCATCCGCCCGGGAGACTCACTTTTTGATCTGTACCGTTCAGTCACAGCAACCATGCTGCCAGAAGGGCTAAATCTGTGGGGTGTGGGAAGAGTGTAAATGGAGTTTTTAATGGACATCAGGTCACTATGGTGTTTAGAACAACAGGTGAGCAATAGAGGCACCTGTATAGCATCTCTTCATCCTCACCAGCTAACACACAGGAGGTGGAACATCACAAGTATAAAGGAAAAACCAAGTCATACTGGTCTGCGGCTTCAGTCTTAACATCTGAAAAACGAAACTGAGTCATTTGGCTTCCAGTTGAGTAAGAGAGAGCTTTTCAGTTGCTATTGCAAGTAAATTGATACAGGCCCAGTGACTCAGGAACTGGACAACAGGAGAAGAAACCATTTCTCTAAGGGTACCCCTCATTCACCATCCCCACTCCTCCCCTTTCCAAGTGTGAAAGAAAAGTGATGTGATGGACTCCAGGTGGGAAACAGCGGATACTGGCTGCAGTGCAAAAAGAGATGCTCAAGGCTAGCTGATCCATGGAAAAGAGTTAAGGAACTGGGAATGGATCACTCTCCCAAGGCCCAGCTTAAGATCATTCCCAGTCATTGATTTATTAAGCAATAAGCGACAGAATATCCACTACTTCCAGGTAGCTGTTCCCCCATGGGACCAGAGGGGTTGATCTAGAAGAGAGGCAGATGTGAAGGGAAAAAAGACAAACACAACCCCCCCGAACATTACAGATCTGCCCTTTATCAGATCCATTCTTTGGTCTGAGCTAAGGGAAAGAAAACAAATGCTGGAGTGGAGAGGAAGTAGCTGGATGGAGAATCAAAACACAGTAGATTTCACCACCAAAGCTTTCTGCTCTTTCATATAAATTAAAACAGGTGGAGGGGACTTCCCACTTCAATTGCTTCAGAAGATGTAACCCCACGACCCATTGCTGCCCTGGACCACCAGGAAGAAAATGCCCTCTTGACCTACTGCTGGTGACCGGCTTGTTTCTCAGACAGAACCACCCCCAGATTTTCAGACCAGAAGGCATCATTGCAATGACACTTTGCGTAACAGATATTGTATGTGACCTTGTTAATCCTGATGCTGAGCCCTGTACCTACTGAGGCTGAACCGAACATGCTCTTTAGACAAAAATCACCTAGGTTGACACACCGAGAGGCAGAGATTCCAACCTATGCACCTCTCAGTGCTAATAACTCCCCAAGCTAGCCTGTACCTGGAGATGCTGGTCTGATCACTACCCAGCGAAAATACTACAACCCAAACCGGATACGTTTCCTAACACCAGGAAAAAAAGTCCTTCAGCACTTATGCTTAAGATGGCCACAGGAAATAGAAAGGGGAAATGTTCCAAAATGAGTTCCAACCCAGCCAACTGAAAATCTTGAATAATCTTCTCTTACAGCCAAGGTCAGTAATTAAGTTAAAAGAAAACTCACCTATCAATCTCACTGCTGGTTGGCCTGACCACTTTGGCACCTGAGGATCCTAATGCATAAGCCTCTTGGCCCATCGATCCATGGCCTGTGGTGTCGATCACCATAGCAGTGACCTCCTCAGCACTGCTCCCATCTTCTCCCGATGGCTGATGCTCTGCCCCAAGCCACTCCTCCAGGTTCTCGGTTTTAATGCGCACTCCTCCCAGCACCCGGACGTCGTCGTCACTCCGTCCCCCGCGGTCTCCCATTCCCGTCTCAACGTACCACTGTCCTGCTCTGTTAATTCGTAGTATGGGCTCTCTGCCTTCCACATCTGAACTCTGTTCAATTATCTGGGGGCTGGTGGACTCCTCAGGTGGGCTGAGCTCCCGAATGTCCAGCACGGTGCTAACCTGGCCCAGACGACTCCCCTTTGGGGTGTTGTGACGTGGGCTCAGAGAACGGTTGAGATTTGGTGTCACCCGGTGAGACTCCGGTGGTCTCTCCTGATGCTTTGTCCTGGTCTGGCTCAATTCCACTTCCACCTCTGCCACGTTGATTTTGAAATGAATTCCCTCAAGTATCTGTGTGCATTTGTCTATGATGTGCTGCATCTGCAAGAAACTGGCGGCCGTTAGATAACTGATGATGTCGGCCAGCTGCAGACATATCCTACCGGTGTAACAAAAGGAAAGGAGCTGCTCAAAAACAGAAGGGTTCTTGATGACAGAAATGGAAACGGTGCTCATTTCGTTCAAGGACATGTGGTCACGGAAGTAGGGCGAACTGGCAGCCAGTACCACCTTGTGAGCACGGAAAGCTTGCCCCTGCACATTGACCACAATGTCACACAGGCGACCCTGCATGCGTAACTGATTCAGGTGGCTCAGGACAGAGTTACTGAAGTCAGGAATCTCCAGCTGAATGTTCCCACTCTTCTCCATGGCTGTCCCAGTTGCAGGAGAACAACCCTACTGGAAAGGGCGGGGGAAATACCATTGTTAATAGAACTAGTCTATCATTTGCATTTAAAACATTTTTCACATTCTTTCATGCAGTTTGGAATATTGGAATTTTTAAAGAACTTTCTCACCATTTAATTTACAAGCGCCTTGCAGCAGTTCTCTGATCTTTATGTGCTGTACAACACCTTTCACAAGAGTTATGTTAAACCAGTCCCCTACAGATCTCCATTCCCTGTGGTGTAAGTGCTCGAAAGAGCTTGTTCTGTCAGCCGCAGTGAAAGCACATTTGCATTGCAAAAAGAACATTAAAAATGGTTCACATACTAAAAATAGGCAACTGATTGCATAATGGATTAAAATACTTAGCACCTTCTAAATACTTTGAAAAAGGAAAGTAACATTGTTATCCCTCCTTTGTAGAGTAAGAATCAGGAAGGAGACACCAGCACCTAAATCCTCCTGAGATTTTTCAAAAGCTGACCAGCACATATTTGACTTCAAGGCATCTTAAGTACATCATTAAACCCAGGATACTCATCATATGTCCCGTCTCTGCCACAGGCAGAAAAATATAACAGGACAGTGAAAAAAAAAACACCAGCACCCAGTTGTAAGCACCAACTTATCAGACCATCCACTGGGCACAAGTGACTCGCTGGCAAAAGAAGCTAGTGTTTGTGTAGACTGAGATATTGCACACAGTAAAAGACAATTTACAAACAATGGGTATTAACAAACTAGCTCTCCTACTTCCCCTTCCATAATGCATTTTTCTATAATCATCACATTTCATTTTGGCAAAGTCTGAAAAGGAGCCCTGACTATATATGGTAAAAATTCAGAATGATCCAAAATTAGATGTAAACTCGCCTAAAAAGAAAAGGAAAAAAAAAAAGGAAATAAAATTTATTAAAGACCACTCATGGCATGAACAGCTTCCAGGCTGGATGGAATCTCAAGTGTCCATTAAGCAGAGTGCTGCAGATATCAAAATAATTCCAGGCAGGCTGGGAATACCGAGGCTCATAGTGCCTGGTATGAGAAATCTCAGAATCCCAGGACTAGCAGACAGGAAAGCATGTGTGCCTTTGGAGGATGTTTTTGGTTTTTAATTTATGAATGCTGCAGGATAGTGCATGCTCACATGCCCAAGCAGACTTTGTGCAAACTTGGCAAAGTATGTTACTAAACCTGAAGCTGCAGGACAGCCTGTCAATCTTGTGAAGTCATGCAAAGAGACTACTAAATGGCCGGACGGCTCTATGTCTCTGGGGCAGGTGAGATCAGTGGTGCACAAAACTTCACAAGGTGCAGCTTAACAGTGCCATGTCTCAAGGCTTCTTCTCCCCTTTCCCAATCTTTAGAAGGAAGCAATGAAAGCCACAAAAAGTCCATGCCAAAACAACATTAAGAGCAGAACTTCAAATGTACAAAACAAGGTGAAACAGAAAATCTGATGTCTTACCAGTAACGTTACGAGGAACATGCAGAGGGGAGGAAATGGGGGTGCTATCTTGTTATCTTCCTTTTTTCTTCTGATGTAGTAAGAAGGTCTGAAATTTTTTTGCCCCCTTCCCCTTTAGAAGGAAAAAAGAAAAGGAAGAAAATATGTAACACAGAGGAACAGGGCTCTCTCAAGCACAATCGAGGACATCAAGCTTCGTCATACTTTGTTTTGCTGGAGAATACAGCAGCAGGACTAGCTAACCGTTTACACAACGTCCCACCCCAAACCACAGAGACACACTGAGTCTTATCAAATTGATCTTTCCCCACTGTCTGCTCAGTGTTGTACAGATAGTCATTAAAACGAAAAATGGAGGCGCAAATAACCTGAATAAGTAATTTTCTCTCTTAAGGGGCTGGTATCTCTGGCATTAACCCCGCGGCATTTACACAACTCAGTGTTTTCCTCAAATGAGCCGTCTCATTTACACCATTAGGAACACTCACACAGCCAAAATCACATCGAGCATGTGTAAATGTTTACAGGACTGGAGAGCCTGTAATCTCATAATCTTCTCAAACCACCAGTTTCTAAAGCAGTGAACTCCAAAGCGTTCTCTTAAGGAAAGCAGGCAAAGAAAAGGCACGTGGGCATCCCTGGCGAAGTGAAACACCCCGCTGAGGCAGTGAGCACGCAGGAAGGCTTGCCAGCGGAGGCGAGGCAAGAGGCAGAGGGAGGCAGAGGCTGACCATTCGTTTCTCAGGGGTTCAGCTCAGGACATACAGAAAGAGAAGGGAAAAAAATAATAATCAGATTTTAACTGCTGAGTGTGGCTGTGTAGGGCCCCGGTCAGAAGTCAGCTGCTCCCAGGGGAGCCTGAAAAAGTATTTGTGAGCTTCTGCTCCAAAGGCAGGGAAAAAAAATCCATCCACTGGTGATGGCAGGAGAGAAGGACCCACCTAGCTTCAGTCACCTCAGTATCAAGAAAGTGACATTTTATGATACGCTTTGTAGGCAACCTCAGTCATAGGCTGGTGAAGGGGAATATAGCTTTTTTGCTCAGGTCAGCTTTGTCAGCAGATGGTTTCTGTCCTCCCGGGTACAGGGTCAATCGTAAGCTTATGCACCTCAGCCAGCAGTGCAATGACATCTCAAGTTTTGTCTTTCCTGGTGCTGGACTGCAAGTTCATCATCTCAGCCTTTGCCTGCAGGATGAGTGGGATCTCCTGCTGAGCAGTGCTCTTCACAGAGAACGTACTGAGACACTTATCTATTTTTAATACAATTTAAAGTGTCACCAGCTGAGGCTTTGACTTTTATCAGAAAACGCCTTTCACCCTGTGAAGCAAGTGCAACTACCGAGACCAGGAGTAAAATTCCACCCATCAGGCCCTTGTGAAAAGCTGGGACAGACCAGCTGCAGCAGATGATGCTCACTCTGAATGTATTCTTTGTCAGAAAACTGTCAAGCTGGGGAGCTGCACAGAGGAGGAGGTGGAATGGAAAAGTCTCAGCTTTTGGGACTGAGATTTATCACAACTGATCAACTGGACCAATTTCAAATTACGATACGACCTTAGTAAAGATGAAAACAATATCAGTTCTATATTGAGATGAGAGATGCTGCCTTTTTCATCCTTCCCCGCCTGAGCTAAAAGAGCAAATTTAACAGTGTTCGGGTTTCCCCCTCTGAATCTCTCACAAGTGATGACTCCAGGCCTCTGCTCCCGAGGCGATTACGGTTCATTTTTAGCCCTGACAGCTGCCGGGAGGTGCCCGAACGCCCGAACCCTGGGGTGCGTGGAGAGGCACGACCGAAACCCGCCCTCCCCTCATCCCGCTGGTCGCACCTTCCCCACGTCGCTCCGCCAGTGGGGCTGACAACGCACCGCTCTCCTCCCGCGGAGGAGAGCACCGGCCGCGGGGACGGAAAGAGCCCGGGGAGGGTCGCGGGGTCTCTGGGGAGAAAAGAACCCCGCCGGCGGGAGACCGGCGACTCCAAGGGAAGGAGAGGCGGTGGCGGGGCGCGGCCGTGCTCCCCGGCCCCCTGCGCCGGCCCCCGCGGGCGTGACGGCGCCGCACGGGCAGGGCGGGCTCGGCCCTCGCCCCGCCCCACCCCGCCCCGCCCCGCCCCACCCCGCCCGGCCCTGCCCGGCCCTGCCCGGCCCGCCGGGTCCGCGCCGCGCCGGTTCCTACCTGGCGGGGGTGGGAAGGGCCCGCAGCACCGTCCCGGAAGCGAAACCCCCCGAGCGGGCCGCACCCCGGAAGAAAATTCCCGCCCGTGAGGCCGCGGCGCGCATCGCTCCCCGCCCGCCGCCGCGCCACGGCCTCGCGCCACGCCCCGCGCAGCCACGCCTCCTTACGTGAGGGGGATGGCCGCGCACCGCCCCCCGGTCCGTGCACACGTGACCGGCGCCGCTAGTATATAAAGGGCGCGCAGGCCGAGCTCTGTCTTTTCGGCCTGCCGCGGAGGCTCGTGGGCGGTGCTACTCGTTGGTGCCGGTGAGTGGGGTTTGTTTTCCGCCTGGCGTAGGCCCGCGCCGCTCCGGTGGACCGTGTGGAAGCCCTGTGTGTGGGCCCTGATCCCCTATGGGCGCCAGCGGGGAAGGATGGCGGTGGATTGGGTAGTCTGGGCCTGGTCCGCGGCCTAGGCCGCGGGGACGCTCTGGCGGGACTCCGCCTCGTGGCGGCCCTAGGAAAGGGGTGAGCATGTAGCGGGGGCCCTCGGTAGCAGTAATATGGGAGACGCGGTCCCATGGAGCCTCTATATGGGCCGGGGGAAGGGGTGGCCAGCCCTGTCCCGTGGCGCTTCAGGCTTGAGGCCCATCGTTCCGCGGCGGTGTGGGAGTTTGGGTGGTGCCTGGATGTGAGCGCTGCGGAGAAGCTGAGCCTGGGGCCTGCACTCGGATTTCATGAGGTAACAGCTCAGGGTGCCTCATTTGCGTTGTGTTCTCTCTTGGGAACCTTTTTCGCTAGGGAATGCACCTAGATGATGGCGAGATATGTGCCTGTTACAGAGAAGAAATGTTCCTTAGTTTTAGAATTAAAGGCCCCGTGTTAAAAAAGTGGTATAATAGCTTACTTGGATTTCCATGTGCCTGCACGTGATGAAAACTATGTTGGTAGGGACATCTGAGAGGGTGATGAATGCCAACGTATCTGAGCTGGGCATGGAATAGTGTGCGGTGAAATATCTGATAGGGCTGAAACAGAATGTGGTCCTTTCTGAGCAGCCCAAGTTCATGGCTGTGGGACTGGCTCGGTGATTATACTTTGAAATTGCAGCTGTAGAAAATGACAAAAATTTTGTGATTCTGTTCTTATAAAACACTGTCTGGTAATTATTTTTGTGGCCTTGTCTCTTCGAAGAGCTGAAATGTAGATTGAACTAGGAAGAGCTTTACTCAAGTAAAGTTCCAGAGTATATTGGTTCTTAGTAGAACTAATGGATGCTTTCTTGTTTTCAGTTCAAGATGCACCAACTACTTACACCATTTTCCTCTTACAGCTTTGAAACAGGTAAGTGTTGTGTCTAAAATTAAGTTTAAATTGAGAAATGGTTAGGTACACTTACAGCAACTTAGCCTGGAGTACTCTTATATGTCAGGGAACTACAGGAGTGGTGTTTGTAATACAGTAATTGCCTGTGGTATTTCTTCAGGCAGTCCTTGCTCTCCTACTGGGAAAAATCACCTAGTTCTTTATACTGGAAAGTGGCTGTTAGGCCGCTGTTTCTGAAGCAGTAATTATTCTGTACCCAAACTACAGTAGGACCTAGGTGCCTTTTTTCTTCATTACTACTATTTACAGCAATAAGTAGCTTGCTGTTTAAGGAAAACTGCCTGATGCGTGTTTCAGAAACGTGTGACTATCAGAATTAATATTAACTAAATCAGAGCCTATGATGGTTTCAATACAAGAGTAGTGGACAGAAATGATTTCTGAAAACTCTGTGCTGAGGCTTTTTTCTCTGCTTGATGTCACTGCTAGAGATAGTCTCCCTTAGTTCTACAGGTGTCTGAAACTTCTGTCTTTTTCAGATCTGCTGTGGAATAAAGAAACTTGATGCTACTACAAAAGGTAAGAAAAAAAAATTAAAAATTCAGCCTGAAATTGTGATTGCTTATCTAGGCAGTATCTTTTGTTCTAATAACATTAATAGGCAGACTTTTCTCAGTTTTCCCTCCAGTGCCACAATGATGACACTTATTTGCTACTCTTGACCAAGAGAATGATGAGCACTCTTACCACCATAACTTTTCCTCTGAGGCACAGCAACTTAACGTTCCCCTTGATGTTTTGTCTTAAGAATGTTCTATTGATAAGCTTTTTTTTTTCTTCCAGTATTTGAGTCATATACTTAGAAGACTTGCAGAAGAAACATCATCTGGTGAGAAATGTGTAGTCTACATAGGGGTTCCTTCCATGGAGCTGTGGAGAGGGTGGAATGTAAAATGGGGGAAATATTTCAGGTTGATTTCTGTTAATACACAGAAATGGTTGACAATTGCTAATAGTCAAACTCTTGAATGTTTATGTGGCTTATTTATTCAAAGCTGTCACAAGAACTGATTGTTTCGTTTGTTATTCCAAAGCAGATACAGTGATGATGGCATAGTTCAGCAGAATATTCTGTGACGAACAGTTTTGTCTTTCGCTCCTATCTGAAGTGTCTGTTGTGATCTTTTGCTTAGGGGGGCGTCGGCTTGGCTATGAAGCCTGAGGGAATCTGATGGGGTTTTTTCTTTTGTTGCAGGTACTGGGAAATGAAGCTATAAACTGTGCAAGGTAAATAATGTATTCCCTGCATTTGTGAAAGCTCATTTATGTCGCAGATGTGTGGAAGGCTGTGTATGATGACAGCATAGTTCAGCAGATGACTCATGGTGATCATGCAGTTACTGTCTTTCGCTCCTAGCTGATGCAGCCTTCTGCACCTTAAGCTGTTACACAGTTCATGAGGATAGCTGAGGGTGAAACACATTTTTGCTCCACGGATGAGTTTTGAAAATTTGTTTCAGAAGCTAAAAAATTTAGAAGGATAAAGGGTAGGCTATGCTTGTGGAATTAAATACAAATACAGCAGAATAAATCTGCAGCTTCAGTAACACAGTCTTGGTTGATCTGGTTGCTGTTAGTGTTGCAACTTCTGCAAGTATTTTGTTGCTTTGCAGGCTGCCCTTGATGGAGGATACCTGTGCCTCCAGTGTGAGAATATTTCACCTGTTACTAATGCTTGTGAAGACAAGGCCTTTCTAATTGAAGGTAATTGAAAACCATGTTTTTTTCTTTTGGATGGATACTGCATTTGGCTGTGCTGCATTTGAACTTGGGAGTTTGCTTTTGGAAATAAGAGTCTGGAAATCCCATTCTGTTTCTGGAAAATCTGAAGCAAATAGTACCCTAAGTGTGCCTTCAGATCCCCTATGCTTCACAAAAAAAAGCATTAAGTAATTGTTTTAAAATGGGCCCAATGAGGCTAACTGGTGGATGCTATGAATTGAGTGTTTGAAATGTTTTTTTTCTGGATGTAGATGTTTACGCAGTTCATGCCACTGAGATCTGCAATTCAAAGGTTTGCTCCTGTCTGCAATTTCAGCAGTCTCTGGAATTGAGAGTGCTGGGAGATGGCTTTATTACTCTTTGTGGAACGGGGTGGAAGTGTTGTGGTGTACTGTAGATGATGTTGAATCAGGTCTCTGATCCCTATGAGGATAAAATGTGACTAAACACTGATACAGTATTTCATTGGAACGGTTCTCATGTGAAAGCTTTCTGCTGGACCTTATCTAATAGCAGATTTTCTTTTGCAGGCTTCCAGAGTTTGTCATTGCGATGTAAGTACTTGTTTTAACTTTGTGAATATTAGCATAAAAAAAAACCTCTAGAACAAAGTATGCAATTGCATATAAGCTTGGTGGGGGTGATGTGTGCAGGACAAGGGGCCAGTGTTGGCTGCTGTTTCCATCTCGGCCAAAACAGGAGGATGCTTAAGGGGAGAGCCGCTGGGCAAGGTGCAGCCTTGACAGGTTTGTTTGTAGCTGAACTCTCACTGCCAGTGAGCTTGAAGTTGCTCACATGGCACTGTTGGTGCATTTGCCTTCCACATTGCAGTGTTAGCTTTAAAACAGCAGCAGATGGCTGTCTAGTAATTTGTGAGCTGCCTGTGTGATGAGATGCAAGTACCTTGACTTCAGTCATGGAGGTCTGCAATTAGCTCTATCTGACTTCAGGCATCTGGTTAGATTTGATTCTCATGTGCTTGCTTGTTCTTGGTCCTAATGCTTTGCTTTGTTCCAGGGCTGCTGTGATAAAGCTGTGAAGTAGTGCTGTTGTAGTCTACCAGCAAAAGTAAGTTGCCAGCAAATGCATGTGACTGGTCAGAACTGTGTGATGAGTGATAGGGAAGTTACTACTAAATGCTGGCCTCTAATAGCAGTGTAGCTGAAGCATTTAGAAGGTTCCTTGAGGATTTGCCTCTACCAGTAGATCACAGATTACCGGCAGCCTGCAGGTTCACTTGCCCAAGGTGCTAGGGACTGAATCTCATACTTTGAATAGAGACAGTACTAAGATAGTTATAATTCCAGCAGTAACAGACATAGTTTCTGGAAGTCTTAAGGAGGCTCTGGAGTAACATAAATATTGGACTGACATTTCATTTTCCTAATGGTTTATCCTAGATTTGAGAATGGGAAAACTGCTGGATGCTTTATGACAGATGATTCATACTTGGTAAGTGGTTTCTCAGTTGCCCCAAGAAAAAAAGAGAAACCTTTTTTCTACTCTTTGAAAATCTTTACTGCTTTTTGCAGCAGAGAAGAAATAGCATGGACCCCACTGAAATATGTAACTGCTATGGGCTAGGGTTACTAGGAATAAGAATGTGTGGTAACCTGGCAGTGCAGAGCCTGTGCTGACCAAAGCTAGTACAATTATTTGCTGGTTTAACTTTGCTGGTTAAATTTAGTGGGCTTTTGCAGGGAGTAGTGATGTGAATAAAGATGCCATTGGGGGTAAGGTCTGAAATGCTGAGGTCTGGTCCACCTCAAAGGAGAAACAAAAGTAACAATACGAAGCTTCTCAAAGCATGTACTGTTTGTGATGATTAATTCTAATCAATGGGAATCTCTCTGAAAGAGGCTGAGGAGGACTCTTGTGCTGAAACAGTACTCACATTCAAACTAATTCTTGAGGCACTTCCAAGGAGAATGTGTTAATAGAATTTCACTTGTTACAGGGTGAAGCTCATGAGTTCGTGTGAGAAACAAGACTAACTCATGTCTGAGGTAAGTGTCAAGTAGGTTGGGTTTGATAATTACAGTAATGCTGGTTTTCTGCTAGGTGCCTTGATTGTGGTGCCTAAAATTATTCATTACTCCTATAATAGATAGGATTTGTCTTCCTGTTGTATTCTGATTATCTCGGCTACTCTGGGAATAAATGTGATGTGCTTGAAGCAAGAATGCAATTCTGTGTAGGTCTGAGTTGGACTTAAAAGTGAAAGGGTTTTTCTGGGCAGATAAGACAATTCCTGAGCTGTAGTCAGTAATAAACTTTTTGTAGTTCTTACAGGAAAAGGTGTGGCTTCAATGACTAAAAACTGGGAGTTTAATACTGGATGCCTACACATTGGAAATAGTAAAGGAGCTGAATCAGTGTAGACTACTTAGCCAGTGAAGTGTTGATAGTGTAGTGCAGCAGAATACAGAGTAGCAAAAAATAGCTCCTAACAATTCATATTTATGTGGCTGCACTCTTAAAAAACAACAAAAAACCAAACATCCAACGTATATGCTGTGGTTGTCAGCTAATGTTGGCACTATGCAAATAGAATCAAGTTCTAGGTAATTGCTGTACAAATGTGCTTCCTCCAACAGACTGGCTCTAAATTTTAAGGATAGGTTTTCAAGGTAATTTCTATGAGACTTTTATTTTAAATATCAAAACTCAGTGAATGTAACTATGGGGAGAGAGTATCACAAGCAGGTAGCTTTGTACTTTCACCCAGTTCTTACAATAATAATTCTGTATTTTCAGTTAGGATTTGTAAGCTTTGTATATCCTATTTGGGTGTTACAAATTGGAATTTCTTGTCAGTTGCCACCTGAAGTGCACCTGACACTTACTCCGAAGTAAAGTTAGAGTAGAACTTCATAGGTAGTCAGCCTTTTATATAGTGATGTCTGTTATTCTGAAACAACTTGTTTCTTTCTCAGGAAAGGACTGTGCCGTCTGCAGCCTCATTGGGTAAGACCACACAGCAGATGGATTCTGTTAAAAAATTATGGGGTTATTTGTAGCCATTGATGAAATTTGATTCTGCCAAATGAATTACTGTGATATTACACTTTCCGTTCCACTTTTCTCTGAGGTTACAAAGTTGCTGTGGAGGTTTTTAGGGTTGTGCTACTGCAAGATTTAACTGTAGTTTCTTACTCTAGGTGAGAAGGCAACTTTGAAATTACTCTATGAAGAACTGAAGGTGAGTATAGCTAGTACTGATGAAATTTATTTGCTGGAATGAATGATGATAACCTTAGCTTGAACTCTCTCACTGAATAGAGATGAAAATCTAAGGTCTGAATTGTTCCAAGCAAGTTTATTGTGCTGCTCTGATGTCTTATAATGGTTCTTCTGTCTGTCTTAATAGGTGGGAGACTGCAGAATAATGCATTGCACTTGCATGAACAGCACTAAAAGAGTTCTTTTACCACACCAGTTATGTTTCACTGATACTGATTGGTACCAATAAAAACCTGTAAACTCTACCCATTGTTGTGAACTGTTTTCTGATGAACAGCTTCCTGTAAAACACCTCTTGGCTACCTTATAAAAGCTTCAAATGCTTTAGAGCAGGGTCTAAACTACTTTGAATGCTAGTCCTGCAAGGGTCATAAGTGTCAGATACTGCTAGTGTGCAGACTGCAGTTGCCATGACCAAATGAAGATTTGGACGAAGCTAAATTGAAGTAGTAATTGGTATGTTTTGTGATAACTAAACACTGTGTATTTGTTCTGAAAAATTTTAAAGTCACTGCTTGTGAGGCCCTGAGGCCTGCTAAGGTATTGCTGCTTCCCAGAGCTCATTAATAGGAGGTTTTTCTCCGAAAAAAAATCATTTAACTTCCCCCATATTTCTGCTGTGTTCGGAGTGATACCAATACGAGAAGAGTCAGCTCTATGAAAAGCTCATTCTCTGTAATGTGAGCTAATGCTATAGTACTTCTAATGAGAAGTAGAACTAAACATCCAAGCTGTTCTGCAGGAATACTTTCAGATTACTGGTGCTCCCTAGAAACTTTCAATAAGAACAGGTTTGTCGTATCTCCCACTCCCTACAATCTACCTCAATTCAAGTGGCATCTTGTAGAAAGCTGGTATCTTTAGCAAGAATAGTATTTCATCCTGCAAACAATTAGGCATGATCTTGTGTTCAGGTGGAAATTAAATCTCTTCTGCACTAAAGCAAAAGCCATTAATAAGGTGGTTTTTTTACATCCAGAGATTATTAGTAGCCTCTTGATTTCTCCCCCCACCCCTTGGATTACTTTTTAAAATACCACACTTCATTATGCCTGTTAAAGAGCTTGAAGGGGCTGTCATAGCCCGCAGTATAGAAGAAGTCTTCGTGGAATGGTTGGCCTCTGTTTTTTAAGATTCTGGCCAAGACTTCAGCTTCCTCAGCATATTTTTCTGGGGAGGCAAATCCACCAAAGGACCTGGTTAGAGTGAAAGGGAGAGAGTTTCTGTTAGGAGTTGAAGTCCCTGCTTTTTATTTTCACAGATGGAAACTGCATGCAGTGTTTGAGCACTTCTGATGCAGTTTGTAGTTACTAGGTAAACTATGTGGAGCTAGCTGTCAGGGAGCATATGGTGGTGTATGCTATTTTAAAAGTTCTAGAATTAAAAATAAACGTCCCAAAATAAGTTGGTTGCACTTCAGAGAGTATTCGCTGACAAAGGCTGTTGCCTGTGGCTTTATTACATGGAGGGAGAGCAAGTGTAACTTGCATTTTCTGTAATGAACTGCTGGGCAGGTTTTGTGGGGGTCTGGAACTACAGGTAAAAAGGTCTGGAAGAGTGATTTAGTTGTCCTGTAGCTCAGAATATGTCCAAGAGGATTCTGTAGGCTGCATTTCTATAAAACCCATTCCATGCAGTATGGGTAAGTACTGAGAAATGGATGTTTTGAAGCTTAGTAATTTCTTTGTTCTTGGGACACCCAAGCTTAAGAAAGATTTCCAAATGCTCAGATTCTCCTGTTCAAGGCTTTCAACAGCAGGAGTATACGCATGGTTAGAAATAAACTCTTAAAGAGTAGTTTAGATTCTTAATGAGCCCCTTTCTATAGCTGCCTTCATTTATGAGCTGTGCTGGTGCTGCTTACCGGACAAAGATGGCTGCTGCCTTCCTCTCTTCAACAAAAACATCGGAGTCAGTGGGCTGTGGTGGGGAGTCCTGGTGTTCAAATGGAACAAAGAAAGAGACCTTGAAGTCTGCACAGCCAGATTTTATGAGGCATGTCACAGGCACAGTCATGTCAATCTTCATTTCTAGTGGAGAGGATGAAAAGTTTTAAGTTGCAAGCAAGGGCGACTGTTTTAAAGGGTGATGCAGGCTTATCCTAAAAGTAGATACTAAAGCAGTCTGACAGGTATAATGGCCCAATGGAGTCATGAGTTAGACCACAAAGGGGAACCTGCTGTGTCTCACAGCTCATCTACTGTTTTATGCTATGCAGCTTCATCTCCCCTTTGTGTTTCTCTCATTTCAAAACCAGTAGATAGTACCTTTCTCATTCTTCCCTTGGATGTAGTGGAAGAGTTTCCAGAAGCCCTGACGCATTGCCTCCTTCTGGGTTTCTCCCCTAATGACTGTGCTGACCCACTTTGCTGTCTCGTACTGACGCAGTTCATAATCCTTTGCCTGAAAGGTAGTAAAAGTCACAGTAACCATGAGATGAGTATTGAAGATGACATAATAGCTACTTTTTCCAAATCAGCATAAAAATACTATTTAATGAGAACACTGAGCAACCTCTTTGCTGCAGTCTCTAGGTGTACCCCTAGTGTCAAACTGATGCTTCTATTGCAAAACCATTCTTTGCCTTAGGCTGAGCTTCTCAGAGCTTATAAATAGGTGTACCTCTCCCTATTTGTAATTAGGTGTGAACAGTGTCTAATTTTCCCAGGTCCCCTATGGTCATCAGACAATCCCAAATCCACCTTAGCCTTGCTGTACTCTGACTAGAGGTCTCTGTTCCCCTGGGCTTTAGTAATTACCGTTGTCTCTGTTGAGCTCCACCGAGGGGACTGCAGATCCAGGGACAGGAAGGTTTGCTTGAAGGATTTGATCATCTTGCCAGAGCTGAAAGGCAGATGCAGTTCATTGGCCTCTCTTCAATCAATACAGTATAAATGGGGCAGAAGAAAGCACTAGGTTTTTTTGCCTGATACTTTGATTTTCTCTGGAATAATGAAAGGCTTGAATTCTAATGCTTATCCCCAATGTTTCCACAAGAAGGGATGAAATTCTTTTAGCCCTGAAGGAAGCAGGACCAAGAAGTTACACTGATGTGGGAGTCTGTTCATCTTTCAGGATATGCTGCCTTCGCTTCTCTATGAAGTGGAGGCTTTTCCTGGCTGCAAAAGAGAGTTGAGAGTCTGCAAGTGGCAGTTTTTTGGAAATCTGTAAGACGGATTTGAAGAGTTCAGCCGATTTGCTTCTGGGGAAAAGGCATTGGTGTTGATGTGTACTCTGATATTGACTGCTCATAAATTTATTGGGTTTCTCATATCTGATGCTTTTCTGAAGGCCTTTAGCCTTAGATTCCTATCAATAGATGAGATTTTCTGGATTTATGAATATAAATAAATGTATATAAATAAAGTAGCATGTGAAGGCTAGGTAGCCTTCACATGGAAGGAAAAACCAGAAACATGTAAACAGTGAACTTTCTTTCACTTCCAAAACAAAGCAAGTGGAAATCATCAAAATCACTGTTGAAATAACCACGTCTGGTTAAAAGTCTTGAGGTTTTAGCAGCCTTCATTTATGATTTTTGCCGTCACCAGGCAGATTATACTGCACAACCTACATGAGAAAGACATGAGAAAGTCTGCTTTGTATTGCATTACAATGTCCTTTGTACTTCATGTTGCAAAGAAGTATGTAATTCATTGAGCAGGTATCTTGATTCTTAGCTTGTAGTACATTGTCATCTAAGAGTCTAGACTTAATTGTACATTTTCTTGGGTAACAGAGCAAACTTTGGAATTATTTTTTATTTCTCTGCCTCAACTGCTTATAGCTGCCCATTCATCAAGAAGCCACTGCTCTGTCACTCATGGCTCTACTTTTTTTCATGGGCTTTTAGTAGTACAGGTGCACTGATGCCGTTAACAGCATGTCCCACCTGCAGTGTTAAAGAGTACAGTATGTCTCTGAGCAGCGAGAGGAAATTATGTTACCTAGGTCTGCCAACTAAGACAAGGTCTGTTTTTGAGGTGCACAGCAATGTTTTGTGTTGCAGTGGTATCATAAATATGAACAATGGACCATTCATAATTTGTAATAATAATTTTTAATGTCTTTAAGGTATGCCATCTTTTAAAATGATGGTTTGTGACTATAAGACCATGGCTTTTGTAAAATCAAGAACTGCCTTGTGCTACCTGACTACTTTCTTACCTGTCTATATTTTCTTAGGCCATGCAGACTGCTGATGAATACTGTTAATCCCCTCCTGCACTCTAGAGGTAGCTACAAGAAGTTTTCTCTTTGGGATCTATGAGGTTGAAAAGCTTTTATAAAAAACATAACAAACCACAAAACACCAAAAACCCCCAAAAAACTGCAGGCACTGAGTTCACTTACAATCCTTAAAATAAGTAGTGCACAGAGCACTCAGTGTTGAGCTTTTTCAGTTGTCACTTGAAAGCAAAGGAAGGTGGGAGAACCACATAGCAGGACAGCGATAACAGCAGTTAAAAGCAGGCACTGTCCTCCTCCTTGTCCCAGCCTGAAGATACATTTTCAGCAGCCTTTACCAGGATGACTGCTCACCAGGGACTGCTGTATAGTCCCAACCAAGCTGGACAGTTGTACTCTAATACAGTTTTTGTCAATAGTATTTAGGAGTCAATAAAGCAGGAATCCTGTAATTTTAATAGAAGCAAATACGAACAGTTATACTAAAACTCCCTATAGTAATTTTTTATCCATTGCCATTTCTAAAGCAAAGATGCTGCTTTGCTGGCATTTCACTTTCTCCTTGCTAGAACTTGATAGAAAACACGTTGCTCCTCTTCATGTGCTCCCTGAGTGTATGTTACAAAACAGAAAAATAAACATTTCTCTGTTTCAACACATGCTGTTGTAGTAGCTGCTATATAAGCTGCCTTTTCTCTGAACTTGCCAATTCCAGCCCCTCTCCCACATATCTTTTCTTACGGGTTCATTAACTCTCACAGCTCTATCTTGTGTAACTTTGTGGCCAGTACAGTTGATGACTGCATGCAAGATTTTTTTTAATTACATGAAACAATGCTTTGGCGGGTGGGGGTGGAGAGACAAACTGAGAAGAATCCTCCAGATACTTACAGTTAATTTTTAGATGTACAGGAAAGCTGTTTTGAGATTTCCATCCATTCGTATAAATAGTACTCTAGGCTTGTTTGTTTGTTTGTTTGTTTAAGGCTTTTTCTGCAGCTGTTAACACATGGGCCAAAGGGACAAGAAGTATAGTAGTCATTTTCATAGGTTACAA